ATCTATGATGAAATTGGGCAGAATATAACAGATTTCAAGTGTTATGTTGGACATTGTGAAAAGTCTTGCCCGGAAACTCTTGAGAGGTTTAAGCACCCTCTTGCTGCTACTTAGAGGTAGCAGCTGCATTTATGAGTGGTTTAGTCAAATGGCTGCCCTGAATCAGCCACTCTTCCCTAAGGATTTGGTCCTCTCCGTTGGATTTTCTATGATGGACTTTGGGAGAGTCTTGACCTGTGGGATGCAGCTTTTGCTGAGCTCTCAGCACTCTGCAGACCTTGGCAGGAAGGAGACTTCAGTCAGTGTAGCTGAAATTGCCACATCTCTAAATCGATTAGCTTTGAGGATACAGCTAAATGAAACAATTATTGATGAAATTTCTAATTATTCTTTCCTGATTTGTGCTAAAAATCTAAAAGGAATAATGTCAGATTAATTTCCCCTGTTTTATTCATTTATTCCCTGTGGGCCATGCCATTTGCATTCGTAAGACTGTAGAGTAATATGTAGGATCTGGTGAAGTTTTCTTCCCAAGACTGATGACTCCATCACCCCAAGGAGTAAGCTGCATTATACACTGTTAATTTAAAGAAAGTTGATTCTCTGATCAGCGAATCAGAAATCACTCAGACAAGAATACTTGCAAAGTTTGTATTTTATTCTTTTTTTTTTAATGAAAATTGCTTTGTTTTCCATTTTGTGTAGAATAGGAAGCCACAGGAAGGCTGAATTGAAAGTCATAGCTAATGGACACTGCATAGCTGTTTAATGCTTTGTATATATTTGTTTATATTTCTGCTCTCTAAATTCTGCATTTGTTATATGTGATTACACTACATTTCCAACAATATGTGTTGCCGACCCAATTTTATCTGGGTAGTGACTATAAAATGTAGTTCCCTGAGGTTACCCGCATTTAACATGATTTTGAAAAGATGGACCATAAATCCAGAATGATCCTCCAGCCAGTTAGATCATTACAGGCTCTAGGAAGACTTAGCATATATCCATGGGATTCAGCCATAAGTAGAAGGGAGTCATTAGTGATGTGGGTCTTTCCTCTGCCTCTATTAACCATGATTCGCGAGCAATAGAAAAGGCATGTGAAGTCCACTGTACTTCAGAGCTATGAGTTCAGTAAATAATCACCCCTTAATACTTTGAGTACAATAGAATCGGGATGTATTGCCACTGCTAATAAACTATATAAACTCTATAGAACAAAAAAATAGTATTGTATTCAATGTTTTTCAAAAGACCCATTCTTTTTTAAAGAGAGTTTCTTATTTTCACTTGCTGAGATCAACTATTTTTGCTATAAGTTTTATTTTCAAATACTGATGACCTTAGTAGAATATTGGAAAGTGAAGCCAAGTAAAAGTTGAAATATGCATATTAAATAATACTCTTGCTTAAAGTGGAAGAAACAGAAGTATGTGAAACTGGAGAGACACAGCAGTCTAAAGTTCTGTTCCAGGATTCTTTGAACCAAACCTTTGGCAGCTGCCCAGATCATGTAAATTGCCTTTTGTGTACACATTTCTATATGCCGACTCATCGTTTTTGGCTTAAAATGTGGACATTATAACAAGGTTGGGAATATTTAAATGGCCCTCCCTTTCAGGCTTGACTTGCAAAGCTAATAGTTTTTGAACAAAAGCTATTATTTTGTCTTTAACATATTTTCCTAGAATATTATTCATGTTTGTAAAAACAGACTAGATAAAGAACACAACTGAGCCTTTAAAACACCCTCACAATGTAGCAACATTAAGGGCATTTTAAATACCCTGATCCTATAGATAAGAGTAATTTTGACTGAAGAACTAGAATGTTAGGCTTAAATAGCAAGATATCCAAGATACCCTAAATCGAGAAAGCAGACCTCTCCCTGGACTCGTTTTCCCTGTCACAGTCCTCCCTATTTTAATGATAAATACCCATGGTCCATGTAGGAATTTTAGCTTTATGAATACATAGATTCATCACTACACTCAGAATTTGGAGCGAGAGGGACCTTGCAACTAGGCATGGTGGTACGCACCTATAGCCCAGTCATTTGGGGAACAGGGGTCACAGTTCAAGGTCAGCCTAATCGTGAGTTCCATGTCACTGTAGGCTAGGCCCTGTCTTTTTTGAAATGCTAAGTAAAACAGTCTTAGAAAGTTTTCTACTCATCCCTCTCTAAGTGACCAATATTTGAGTTTCAGTTACATGGTCACCAGAGTGGAAGCGAGCATATCCCCAGGTCACACAGGTCCTCATCACACGGTGTGCACTCCATTCTCTCTCCAGGTCAGTCTGCTGGTCTTTATGGTTCTCTATGAGATCTAGATTGAGCTGTGTCCTCTCGGACTTCTTCAGTTACTTCCCAGTTGCGTATTTAGGAACCAGCACAGAGATCGATCTTGTAAATAATTTTTACTGAAATACATTAATTCTATGGGCTGAGAGATAACCAAAGCTGTTCTTTCATATACACATTTATCCTAAACCCAGTTGCCTTTCCTTTAGCATGATGTGTGCTTCCTATGTTCTTGTTCCTCATGTAATTCAGCATAAATAGAAATGAATGTGGTTTTCCTTCTCATGTGAATATCAGAAAAAAACATGTAACATATGAAGAAATGGTTAGTTTTCTCACCAGTTTTCTCTTGACCCAGCACATAAATTTTAAGGAACATATGCCTGGATACTAAATAAATTTGAGTTTGATTTAGCGCATTTAGGTTATTTTAAGTGGTACTTCTGAGTATGCCTCCACATGTTCTAATCTCCTGCAGTGAGGAAAAAAAAGAAAAGAGAAAAGTTCCTTAGATTCTGGGAAGTGGACTGGACTTGTTCATTCTATCCTCTTTTCTTCCTTCTCCAGGATGATGTTCTCCGTGTATCTTATCCTGATATGGCCTTATGTTACAAATTAGTTTTTAACATTTCTCCTCAACCAAGGATTTTGTAGTTTTGCTTAATAGATTTGGCTTTGTTTAGGGATGACATGTAAAATAAAAAATGTTATCTCATAATAACAAATGGCCAATTGCAGCATGCATTGACCATGAGTTAACAAAATTTGAAAGTTGCTTTCCATTCCATTTGGGTAATTCGACATCCCTTTTATTAAACTAACTATAAAGTAAGAATAGCTAATATCCTAAGAGCTGAAAATTTAGGACATTGTCTAAAACAAATGAATTTAAGATTTTTAGTTCTCCGTTTTCCATTTTATTGGGTCATCCCAATAAAACAAGATGGCATCAACCATCTTGTGAACTTTAAAACAAAGCCTGAATTTGCCTCTAAATGGAGAGAGAATAAGCGTGAGGCTGGAGCAGGTTTCCCTTGCCCAGCTTCTTCATCATGTAGTTTCCATATTCTTCACTAGTCTAGCACTAGAGGTAGTGACAGGGTTAGCAAGGTGTACCCATGTAAAAAAGGGTAGCTTAGAAGTCTGGGGGGCATCACAAAGAACACTTAGAAAGGATCTCTGTTCAAAAGAGGAAAAACCAACCTTCCAGCAGACCTCCAGGCTCAGGTGTGACAGCCATTGTGCCTGCCACCTCTGTCCCCACATCCTTGCCCTACATACCTTGTCAGACCTTGCCCTACATACCTTCTGCCGTGAGCACATGCCCAGCTTGTCTTTCTGGCTGCTCTTTCCTCCCCAACTCTTACTCTTTAAGATTCAACTCTGGGTTCAGAGGAGGCTTCCTATAATGCCTATGGTGTTGCATTGTACATTCTTATGCAAGACACTCCAGGAACCCTTCTCACATTTACGTCATCATTTGCAAACACTACTGGAATTTTTTTCTGCTCAAATACTTGCTTCCTAATGTTCTCTGAAGTCTTTGAGAAACGTGATTTGTTGTCTTAGCACGCTAATAAGCCAGAGCGGTTCATATTAGCTATTTTATATCAAATAATGTGCAATAAATGTGAGCCTGAACCAAAACCAGGATGTGCATTTGCAGGTATAGAAATTAGAATTATCAGTGAGGAATATATTTAACTGTATTTGAATTATCATACATGTCTTGAAGATATAAGTCTTTTTCCAGAAACAAACCATACCCAAGAGTCTGATCATATCTCAAGAGTCCCTTCATCCTTGGGGCTGGGATGACATCTCAGTGGATAAGAATACATGGTGCACAAGTATGAAGACCCAAGTTCAAATCCCACCACCTACATAAAAAGCTGGTTGTGACTCCATAGTTCCATGAACGCAGCGCTGTGGGGAAGAAACACAAGGGGATCTCTGCCTTCCTCCAGGTTTAGCAGAAGATCCTGTCCCCAAGGCAGTAAGGCACAATAATTGATAGGGAAAGGTACCAGGTGTCCCAACGGCCTCTGCATTTGCACTTAGGGATAGATGCACTAGTACTGCACACGTAAACTATTCACAACACACATTAAAGGAGAAAAAAAATCTCTTCTTAAAATGTATTTTTTTGAGATAAACCATCAAACCACATATTTGCAGCTCATGCCTTTCAGATTTCTATTACGATTTTATATTTGTAAGCATAGATTAGGTACGACAGGCAAGTAAGTCAGTGACTTGGAAAATAGATAAAATTTAATGTGAAAATACACATAAGAAAGTCTAGTAATTGGAGGGAGGATTTGGAAAAGGACTCAGAGTACTTAAGTAAGGAATCTTTGAAATTTATCTTCTATTCCAATAGATTTTTATGTATGATGTGAATATCTAAAATCCCATGCAATCTCAATTAAAATGTTGAAGAGCTGTATGTGGCATCAGGACATGTGTGCTACGGAGAACCTGAACCTTCCAGACTATGCCAAGGGGAACACAAAGTGGCTTTCTGATTTAACACTGAGGTTTCGGTGGAAGACAGGAGTCTAAGCTTAAAACCAGGAGTCAGGAAAAGAGCAACATGTGACATGTTGCCTGGAGTCGACTGTCCCAGAGATTCCGTAATAAAAGTGTGATAGAACTTCCCTGACGTAACGCCTCAATGTCTTCTCTTCCTTAGTGGGATCGGGCGGAATTGGCCCTGGGCCTCCGGAGGCAGCAGTATTCTGGCAGAATTTGGAACTCTGCATTTGGAGTTCATGCACTTGAGCCACTTGTCAGGAAACCCCATCTTTGCTGAAAAGGTGAGTCTTGGTAACACGGGTGCAGAGAGGGGAAAGCAACAAGCTTTGTGCAACTGTAAGAAACTTTGTAACATGCCTATGTCACTCATCAGCCTGTCGACCTAGTCTTTCCATGACACTGTGTAACTCATGGTAAGAGAGCCTGCCTTCCCCGTGAGGCTTACTGTACACTAAGCAAGTTATTTGCCTGTCTGAAAATGTTTCCATCTAAAAATATTTAGTACTGCATCCACCGAATGAAGCACATATGTGAAAGGTTATACAAATATGAAGTGACCGTGGAATAGATTCGATTTCAAGAAGCAAACCTGTCCATTACTGCATCACCTGACCACTTGGCTTTTCACTTTTACCTCCTTTAAGAAAGCAAAATTCCCTGACAGACTTTTCTTTCACTTTGTTGAAATTCTCCTTGGACATATATCACTGTTCCCAGACCACATTACCCCCTTTCCCATTCACCTCATCCTTAGTGAACTCACACTTCCTCATGTGGGGGTGGGGGTAGCTAGAGGAGTGGCCCATAGCATCATAACAGAACCTTATTTCTCATATTGTGGCCACCGGGAGGTCTACACTTAGGGTTTAGACCAGGAAGACTTCATTCCTAGGTCTCTTGGCCTGTAAGTGTTCCCATGACCTCTAATTTGTGCCTCTGCACAAGGGGGCCTGGGGGAGCCAGAAGCCTTTACCCTCCTGAATATCCCTCAATGCCTCATCTCTCAATATCCTTGCCCTGAGGGGTGGAGCTCGATGTGGGATTTGCATAATTCTTTTCCTTCTTATTTTCCATAGCATTTGTCTTCCCTTGACCTACTATTTAGACTTGTTTATTTTCCATATCATCCTATTCAAGTGCAAAATTCAAAAAGAGTAGTTTTGTACACTTATAGAGCCTTAATATACAGATGGGGGAGTCTTGATTTGGGGTCTGGGTTCTAGATATGTCTGACTATATGCACTGATTCCTATTAATTTTGTCATAACAAAATTCTGAAGCATTCACTTTCATTTTCTACCCTTGCCAAGAAAAAAAACATTTCAAGAGAGAAAGAATGGCATGTGAACTTTTTCTTAGATTTTTTCACATTAATTCCTTTTCCTTTATAGGTAATGAATATTCGAACAGTGCTGAACAAACTGGAAAAGCCAGAAGGCCTCTATCCTAACTATCTGAACCCCAGTAGCGGACAGTGGGGCCAACGTAAGTCCAAAAGCTGAGCATTCACTCTCTTCTTGGTGCCCAGCACTGTGCAAACAGTGGAGGGCAAGCATGGCTCTTGTTGAGAAATGTTGAAAAGGGGGAGTGAGTCTTAACCAGCCTTAGACAGAGCGCTGCTGGGAAACCAGACAACCTCTATTCTGCTGACAGCTGAAAATCTGATGACTCTGTTATAAGCATATTTGAAACCACCAGTCAGAAAAGGAAGTGTTGTGGCTTATCTCAGGCTCGCTGGCTGTGTGGTTAGAAGGAAAGCAGGTCCTTGATGCTTTTGCCCAGGGTAGTAGCTGGACCACCCCATTTCTACTGTTTTCCACTTTGAGTTAGGAAATTAGAAGCACAGACAGAGGTCTTTCTCTTTATAATTTTAAGTCGCCTGATAAAGATGTCTTGTGAGTAACTTACCTTTAGTATAGAAATGAGTGTCAAACGGGGTCTTTGGATGCCAGAAGCCCTCACTTCAGATCATTTTCAACAGAGGTATAAAGACTTGGGATTTGTAAAAAGAAACGTTCTCAAGCCAATTTGGAAAGACTGTGATAGGTTAAGTAGCAATTGAAAGCAGGTAAGATGCCTAGCTGTGTTGAAGGCGTTAAATTTGTACTCTAATTTTGGCTTTTTTTTTCTTTATATTAAATAACATATTCTTAGATAATTATATCTCACTATTCTTTTAGAAGTACTTCTTTTTAAAGAACAAGTTAGTAGGGGAAAAAAGCTAACCCCCATGTCTGCTGTTGGTAATAACTAGGAACAGCCTGGATACGGAAGCCTTACACCTAAAAAGAAGCCTCCCACTCAGTGTGGTCTACAGACCGCTGGATGTCCTGGACACCTTTCATGGGTCCACAAAGTCAAAAGTTTGGGGATACTGGCAAATCTTGTCTTTTCCCTGTGCACACTTGCGCTTGTGCTGAGTAGGCTCAGTAAGATTCAAGGCAAGTACACCAATGAGTACTAATGCTCACTGTCATTTCTACCACAATTTAAAATATACCAGTTGCACTTAGGAGTATATTGATGACACAGAGGGATGACTTTTGATTTAGGGCACACCAACATGTGCAGGTATGTCACTGTGATCCTGTGAATGACTTGCTGAAATAAAATACTTAGCAAAAGAAGCTTAATGAAAACAGGGTTCATTTGGGCTCATAGTTCAGTTGAATAGTCCATCATGGTGGCAAGAGCTTGAGGCAGTGTTGGGAGCAAAGAGATTGCTTTGTCTTTCTGTTCAGTATGGAACCCTAGCCCACAGGACGGTGCCATTCACACTTAGAATGGGACTTCCCACTTCAGTGAACACCATCTAGAAACTGCATCACAGACAGGCTGAGAGGTCCGTCTCCTAAGTGATTCTAGCTTGCTGAGCTCACTGTCAACACTAACCAGCACCATAATGATCTGTGTGAGGATATGAATGTGTCAGAAGCGTTTCTGACACGGGATGGAAGAGAACAGTTGTATGGGAGAAATCTTGTGTTTCAAGGTTGTGTTGTTACTGATATAACTGCTTGCTCTAGGGTGATTGTGAATATTCTTTCATGAGCCATCATCTTTATAAATGGTTATTTGGACCTGGGTAGCTGGCTCCTAAAGATGAAAAAATGGTATTTTTACCAGTGATGGTAAATTTTGAGTTTCTAAATAAAAATTAGAATTTTAGAAAACTTTTATGTAATACCATGAGCTTGAGTCCGTAAGTTTCCTGATAATATTGGTGACTTTAACAAAGGTGTTTTTTCATTTTTATTGTGTATTGAAATGTGTCAACATGGCATATCTACATAACTCAGAAAAAAATCAATATTTTACAAACAAGCAGCAGATGCTAGCATGAAGTCACACATAACAAAAAGATCTAATGAACGTACAAGATACTCAATAGACTTTAATGTACCTGAGTATAAAGTTTTAATGAGGGGTGGGAGAAATGACTCCTTGGTTAAGAGAACTTGAGGCTGTGACAGAGGATCCAGGCTCAGCTCCTAACCACCACCTGATGGCTCACACTACCTACAATTCCAGTTCCAGGGGATCTTTCTCTTCTAGCCAGTGAGGACGCTGGGCAAGCATATAATATGCATTACATACATGCCACTGCTCACATGTATGGAATAAACACATAAAATAAGTAGTTTTTCAGTTTGCTGGTATAATTTGTAACCCTGAATTGTAGCTAGTTAAAAAAAAAAACACTTTAACCTTTTAAACACCACTTGTTTTGTTGCTATATCAAAAGATATATTAAGATAAGTGTACAAGATATTCAATAGACTTTAATGTAGCCACGATGTATGCTTCTGGGGGGGTGCACGCCTGAGCACGTGCGGGCACACGTGTGTGAAGGCCAGAGATTAACCACGAGAGCAGTGCCTCAGCACCATCCAGCTTGTTCTCTGAGATAAGGATTCTCACTGGCCTGGAATTTCAGCTAGCCAGGAATGTGTTTGACTCTGCCTTCCTAGTTGCTATTACAAGTGTAATAGTAACACCAGGCCCATCGTTGTTTTTTTTTTTTTTTTTTTTTTTCAAAGTTTATTTTGTGCTTTATTTTTTTTTAATTGCTAATGTGGGTAAGCTCTCCAGTTTTTTTTTTTTACATTAATTACATTTTATTCACTTTGCATCCCAGCTGTAGTCCCCTCCTTCATTCCCTCCCAAACCCACCCTCTCTCCTTCATCTCCTCCCATGCCTCTTTCTAAGTCCACTGATAGCAGAGGTCCCCATCGTCTTTTATGTGGGCTCAGAGCCATAGACTCAGGTCCCCATGGTTGTGTAATGAGCTGATGAGAATTTAGACCCACTGAACCCCATCACCAGCGCCTGAATACATGATTAAGATATGCTTCCTTTTGCCTGCTGTACAACTGCCTGAGACAGATATTTCTTTGTATACTTTAGCCAAAGTAATGTATACTCATGGATCAAAGCTGGATCAGACATGAGAATCTAGCCAGGAAAGCAAACATTAAAGACATTGGAACAGGAAGGGGGGGGGGTGAATCAAATAAAATAGTGTCAGTCCTAATTCTGCTTAATCTACAAAGTGACATTTTTATGAAAAATATCATTTGTTGTTATAAATACTACTTTTAATGAATCAGCATAAATGTGTTCTGTTTCAGTTTTCTAATATGTTTAATATTGATAGATACTCCTCAAATAAGCACCTTCAAAACTCTCATTGATTTTTAAGAGTGTGAGGGGTAGCCGGGCATGGTGGTAAATCCCTTTAATCCCAGCACTCAGGAAAACAGAGGCAGGCAGATCTCCGTCACTTCAAGGCCAGCCTGGTCTACAGAGTGAGTTCCAGGACAGCTAGGGCTGTTACACAGAGAAACCTTGCCTTGCAACCAAAAAAAAAAAGTGTGTGATTGGCACTGACCCTGAGACTAATGAAATGTCTGAGGCCTACCAGAGTATTGGCATATAAGACAATTAGATATAATTTTCCAAAAGAGTGACCAGTGTTATCTTTTCTCAGATACTTTGAAAGGCAAAGAAAAGTTTCTTTGATTTCCAGCTTCCTTTCTTTAATCTAGGATCTAGAAGAAGGACACTGAGAGGCAGTTACACCAGGGCATTCTGGCTTCACCTTCTTAGTCACCCATATACTATACCTTTGGCTCTGTTTCCCGGGACAAAGAACCTTTAATATTTGGACTGCTTTTCAGCCAGTTTTCTGGTGGAAAAAATAAACAGGATTGATGCTCTCGCCCACCTTCCAGCCTTCGTTTCAGCCATACAGAAGAACTACTTCTTTTTTTATTTCTTAACCATGGCATATGTAGCGGTATCTAGGATTGGTTTTTCTGTTTGTTTTTGTTTTAACTGTTTTTTTTTTTCTTATACAATTTCCTCAGCTCTTTTATCTAACTCCTCCACTAGGTTCCAGATCACATGCCTTTCCTTCCAGAAGCTTCCTTCTGCAAGGGTATTGTTGGAATTTGTTACCATTTACTACACCTCTATTTCTTCCTCTCCAGATGAACAGCTTGAGTTATTTCTACCCACAGTCTCCTTCCTGATACTCATGCTCATCCATCTTGCTAGAGATTCAAAGCTTTAAAGGTTGGTAAACATGCCATGGGCATGTTTGCTAACCCAGAACACAGTACTTTGTACTTTTCTTTTTTTGTACTCTGTGTGTTATATCTGACCTTTCGTTCCTTCTGCAATAGTCCTATCTACCCTTCTGTAAAACTTGTCCCTGCTTCCTAGCTACAGCTAAAGAGCATCCCAGCCTAGCCATGGAAGAAAAACAGGCTTTGTGATCATTGCTGCCAGATGTGTGGAGAGAGTGTGTGTGTGTGTGTGTGTGTGTGTGTGTGTGTGTCCGTCCAGGCATGTGTTATGAGTCACTAGTTATACTCAAACAATGCTCTGGACAGATAAATTCAGGTTCATATGAAGTCTATTAAAATTATGGAAAAATAATTATTTTGATCCTCCTGTATCTTGATTCTTTTACTATTCTGTTGTTTTGTTTTGATTTGATTTTTAGATGTTAGGAATATTTATATGGGACCTATTCCTAGCAAGAAAGAAAAATCAAAGTTTACCCCTTTAGAGAAGAACATAAGATTTGAGTGGCAATTCATTTAGCACTGTTGGGCATGAAAATACCACATTTTGGTTTTTCTGGAGTTGGTGGCCCTGTCCTTCTGAAAAGTCTTCTCTCCTGCACCCACAAACAATTTGCACACAGTACTCTGCTACCACACAAATTGCCACCCAGAAAGCTCAATGAATAGAATGCTAAATTATCAAAGCCATGATGTACCCCTGTGTTCCTTTATTTTGGTTTGTGGTAGCTAGAAAATTTTTGAATAAACTAACACCAAAACTAACTGAAATCAATGTATTATTGTATAACCCCCTTTTCTTTAAAATAATCCCTGGATGCCCAAGCTTTGCTTCCATCATTCTGGAATCATCACCCAAGGGGACAACACCAAGCTGCTCCTGGCTGTGGGTTCCCCACTCTCGTTACTGACTCCGAAGGCTGTGTCTGGATCGTGGCCATCATTCCCTCTAACTTCATTTGGCCCTTGTTATCTTGACAATAACCGGATAGGGATTTGCTTTGCTGTGCCTCACTTGCGTTTGTCTCCTACAGTCATGCTTACAACAGCACGGCTTATTATTGATGACATCCTACTTACTCTGCTTACTTTGTAAATGTCAGAGGTTTCTGCCGTAATGTGTTTAGGAAACTGTAAAGGTCATATGCGGCTATTTTAAGAAATCAGACTTAACAACTTTAAAGACGTATTTTTCCTCAAAATTTAACTTGGATGATTCTGGACTGTCCGTTGTTTCTTTAAAATGCATATTTAAATACTTAAAATCAGGCTTTACAAGTTGGAATAGGTGCAGTACCTATTAGCATTGGCATACAAGACATTGTAAGATTGACATCACTTGGTTTTGATGGAAAGAGGCTTTCCAGGGGCTGGTGTACACACAAGGACCCGTCTCTGCTCTCATGGATCATGATTTGGCAAAGAGGCAAGCTACTTCCACCACCTTCTGGAAGTAAAAGGATGGCAAAGGTGTGCCTTCCAAAAGCTTATGGAGGAGGGTGGGGGACCTTGTGAGGATTTCAGGGAAGGTCTTCATGAGATCCTGGATATAAGTATGTCCACTTTACTCAGTGGAAAGGCCTACAGAAGCCCTGAGGGAGATGTAAGCTGATAATGTTAAGGACCCAAAAACTCTATATGAGAAGTGAGCAGAGTCCAAGCGCCTGATGGCATGGAGAAGACTGAAACTGTGACCGTCCTTCCTGGTTCCTGAAGAGCCAGGGTTGAAGGGCTTTGGGTTAGCACTGATGAGACTCTCCCGGGGTTGAAGGGAGGGGCTGGGTGGCCAGAGTGGAGAGAGGTTGACACTGCAGCTTCTTGCAGTGAAGGACATGCTGACTTCCCTGTCCAGTGCAATAGGCAAGACGGCATGGAGCTGCTGAGTACCGTGACAGTTGAGGAACTGACCTCGCTGTTCAGTTTTACAAAATGTAAATAGAAATAGCACATCCTATGGGAGTGAAAGCAGGAAATGAGCTTATTGGCCGCTTCAGCGACAAGCAGGAGCTATACTTGTGTCCTTCCTGTTGCTGTGATGAATCACTATGACCCAAAGTAACTTACAAGAAAAAAGGCTTTGTTTGGCTCACACTTCCAGGTCGCAGTCCATCATTGAGGATGGGCGGGAACATGAAGCAGAAACCACAGAGCAGCTACGCTTGCTGGCTTGCTCCCAGGCTTGAGCTTCACCCACTTTCTCAAGCAGCCTACTGCTACCTGCCTAGGGTGGTAGAGCTGACAGTGGGCTGGGAACTCCTACATCAGTAGTGAAAGCAATCTTCCATGGATACGCCTGGAAGTCAGCCTGATTCAGTCTCTCTGTCTCTCATTTGGGAGCAGTTTCTAGGTGACCGGATCAAGCTGTCAGTTAAAGCTAAGTGGAAGTAGTGGTGGCTTGAGCCAGGATCACAGTGGTAAGAACCCAGATGAGTGGGGGAGGGGCTCAAAAGATATAAGAGAGGTACATTTCATTTTAGATTTAGCTCTGTGTTGTGAAACTTTGAAAGGCCATTTTGTTAATGTTCAAGTTCTCCCAGTTCTGGGCACGGTGTTCCAAATCGATTGTGTTTGTGGTTTTGGAAGCAAATGTGCTTTAAAAATGAAGATTCATTCAGTTTATACTTGGTGCTTTATGATGACAGGCAAACATCTAAATGAGGGACTGTATTTGGATGGTGGGGTCAGGTGACTCTCAGCCACACTATGCTCTCTTCTAGCTTCAGTGACCAGTTTCCTTGTTGTAAAGATGAGGAAACCTGGCTGCAGGTACACACAGCTAGGTGATCTTTGGCATAGACCAAAAACAGTCAATAGTCAAAGTGGAGGTATATTGCAGGATCAACGTGTTATAAGACAAACAGTTCTGCTTTCTTTCTTATTTTTTCCCCCAAGACGGATTTCTCTGTGTAGCAGAGCTCTGGCTGTCCTGATACTCACTCCAGGCTGGCCTCAGACTCACAGAGATTCACCTGATGCTGCTCCTGAGTGCTGAGATTAAAGACATGTGCCACCACTTCCAAGCTGCTCTCTTTTTCTTTAATGGTTTATTTCTTTTCAGTCTGTGTGCATTGGTTTTTGCCTGCATGTATGTCTCTGTGAGGGTATCAGATCACTTGGAGCTGGATTACAGAGCTGTGAGCTGCCATGTGGGTGCTGGGAATTGAACTCCGGAGCCAGCACTCCAGCTCTGCTTTTGCTTTCTTCCTTCTTAAGACACTGCCCATCAACTTTCTCCCCTCAGACTTAAAACAATAGAAACATTACAGAGATGTGAAGCCAAGGAACTTCTTGCTTCCTAACGGCTCTTTAATTCCTAAAACCTTAACAGAGTTTTGTGTTACTCAGATCTAAACTAAATTTAAAATATTTAAATATAGACTTTGGAATAATTTGCTGCTTTTTTTTTCCTTTTGGCCAGGTTTTTAGAATTAAAGGTGACCTCACGTAATTTCTCATCATGCTTGCAGGAGTAGCCTGGTGACCAGAGAGGGTACATCCTATGAGTTCATAGCCCATCTGTTCGTTTCAGAAGATCTTTCTTTCCGAAACAGGGGATTTGTTGGGATTCACATGTCCCATTGAGCTGCAGCTGATGGGTTTTGAATCCTAGCCACTAATATGATTTTGCTGCATTATCTGAATTAAAAGCTGAGTTACTGTGAAATTCATTTCCCTCTCTTTTTCAGATCATGTGTCAGTTGGAGGACTTGGAGACAGCTTTTATGAATATTTGCTCAAGGCATGGTTAATGTCTGATAAGACAGATCTGGAAGCCAAGAAGATGTATTTTGATGCTGTTCAGGTAACTCAATATTTAAATCACCCTTGCTAGTCAGTTCTACCTTAGATCTTGCATATTAATGAGGCTTTAATAAGAAATGGAGTACTACATGAGTGCCTTATAAAGTATTTTCAGTTAGGGAGGACTCGGTACCTGCAGTGTAATTTCAACAATAGTAACCACGCTTACAATTTTACTTCTAATGGAACAGTGAAAAGTTGTTATGTGGTTCAAACCTCACTTAAGAGTCATATATCTAGTCAGGCATAGTGGTATTCCCCTGTACCTCCAGCATTTGGCAGGACTGGGATAGGAGGACTGCTTTGAGTTTAAAGTTAGACTGGGCTACATTGTGAGTTTCAGGCCAACCTGAGCTACAGGTACCTGTCTGAAGACCCGATATAGACCCGATATCATAGACCAGATATTCTAGTCAACAACACATCACATGGAAGACAGTGTTCCCTGAAGATGATACTGTCTGCTAACATCATAGTGGTGTCTCTGTTGTCCACACAATGACAGTGCCTAATGCACATTGCTTGGAATATTTGGAATATACCCCTTTCCCTGAGCAACATGACTATGTTCTTTTCTTTTAGCTACATTTTACATGATAGGAAAGGAATGTTGGATTTCTAATCTGAAAATTGACTAAAGTTAAAATTACTGAAGATTGCCGACAGTCCAATGCTACTGCTATTTGAACTCATCTCCATATATTTAATAAAATTATAGCTAAATAAAAAATTAAACTTCTTCTTGAATGCTCAGAATATTTTTATATTCAATACTATTAATTTATAGGGAAAAATCCTTTTTCTTGGGGATGGAAAGTTGAAATGGGCTTTCATCTCTGCCAGAATGACCTGGAACCTTACATTGCTAGGATGACATTGAACTAGTCCTCTTGCTTCCACCTCCCAAGTGCTAAGATTTCAGGCCCAAATTATCACACCTGGCCTTGGAAGCTTGCAATTGCACTTATTTTAAGTCTCTTTCCTAAATGTATTAACCTCACTAAGAGGTCGGTGTGATCTGTTTGTTGAAATATAATGCAGCTTGCTTTGACCTTGCTAGCTGGACTGAGTATTTTATGGTTTTCCTCTATCAATGAGTTAAGGGCTTCATTAAAAAAAAAAAAAAAAAAAAAAACTCTTTCCCCTCACATACAGGCATCAGAAATTCCTTATACGGAGGTCTGTATTGGACAGCTTTTATTACAGCTTGCAGTGAACATCAAAGGCAAGCTAGGTCCCTGTGTGATCCCTGTGTGGTCCCCATGGTCTTGCCCTCATTTGCTAGCATAAGAGAGTTCATTCCTATGAGGGGTACTTTTCCTCCTTCCAGTGTGGTTTTGTGTATTAATCTTGAGATTTTTTTTTCAATATAATTTGGTTTGCACATGGCATCTAATTATCATCCTAGCAGACATTTCAACTGTATTGATTTTGAAGTGGCCCTTAAGGCCTTGATATTCCTGCAAAAGCCCTTTTGAAATATTGTTTGAATTACCTTCCCCCAGTTACTAAAACTGTACCCATGTAACTGTTACTGTATTCTGTTTAGATAAACAGTTGGTAGGAAAAACCTTTAATAACAAATGGAGCAAAGTGTTTCCTATGACTTTTAATTGTAAAACAAACAAAACAAAAACAAAAACAAAGTTAAAAAAAAAAGCATTTTCAATCCATTGCATATTTTCATTGCAAAGTTAGGAAAAGCAAAGTTCTGAGCTGAGTTTGAAAGCAGCATTGTCTTCACACACACAGCGAAGTTTCTTTTTACCCAAGTTGTACTTTTTATTACACAAGATCAAGATACTCAGCATTCCAGCATGGACTGGAAGGGGCACACAAGGCTTCCATCCCTGGCCGAAGAGCTTTGGACAGTTGGTGGCTGCCAGGGAAGGAGGGTCAGTTTTCTTTGGGGCTGTGGCCCCTGGGAGGGTCCTCATGCCCCTTGGAATGACTTCACACCCAGGTGCCCAAGGGCAACACTAATTAGACTCTGGGTTTTTGAGGGGTTTTTGTTTTTTGGTTTTTTTTCCTTAAAGAGTCCATGAAGTAAGGAAGGGAGGAAGAGAGGGTCTGGAAAGAGTTGGGGAAGGGCTTGAGGAGTGAGTACAACCAGAATACATTGCATACATGTATAAAATTTTAAAGAAGAAATTAAAACATTTTTAAGACTATTATGAGTCAGGAGCAGTGGAACACACCTGAGGTATAAGGTTCAGTTGACTCCAGGAGTTCAAGACCAGCCCTGAAGAACATAACAAATACAAAAAAGAAAAAGGAAGACAGGAAGAAGGAAAAGAAAGAAAGAAAGGAAGAAAGAAACAAAGGAAGGAAGGAAGGAAGGAAGGAAGGAAGGAAGGAAGGAAGGAAGGAAGGAAGGAGGGAGAAGAAAGAAAGAAAGAAAGAAAGAAAGAAAGAAAGAAAGAAAGAAAGAAAGAAAGAAAGAAAGAAAGAAAGAGAAAAGAAAAATCAAGAGCAGGATAATGTACAATATTGTTCTGAACTGTTGAGTCACTGGTTATATGGACACTCTTCTTTAGCTTCAGGTGAATTCAGGTAGTCTTTTTGCAGTGTGCTCTAACTATTCAATACTTTGACCTCTCAGCTGGTTTTTATGGCCCTCCATGAACACACACTAAGAATTTATAGTGGGGCAAGATATATGGGCAGGTGACTTATTTAAGAGTACAGAGGCTCCATCAGCTTAATACAAATATTGAAGAATTAAACCACATGCTCTTTTTTCCAATCAATTCCGTATATATTTGACACACAAAAAAGTATTCATTAGAGTCATAGTAGGATATATTTACATTTCTCCATTTCCTCACAAAACCATTGCTTTGGGCACAGAACTTCATCATAGTTTATTTTAGGAGTCAGCAAGTTGGTCAGAATCATGCAAAAATAATACAGTAGTTTATTCACTCTCCATAACAGGGTAATAATGTTTCTCTAATCTGTGCTCAAAAGCTATTACTCTTGCCATGTAGAAAGAATAATTTCTTGGGTGATGAACAAGTATCTGCTTGAAGGACTTTATTGCAATTTGTGTTATGAGAAGTGTAAATAGCTAAGATGTTCAGTTGCATTAAATGAGAATGAAATATTAATGTAATAACTAAACCATCAATAAAATTAGCTTAACCACAGCTAATGAGCCCAGCGGTGTTCATTTATTTCTTACTATCTTGCATTTATTTGTTTGTTCCTAATAAAGGTAGAGAAGGTTTCGTCTGCCTGCATATTCACTTTCAGTCATTCTTCTCTGTCTTCCCAAATGTGCTTCCTGAAAACCTTCCTTTTTCTGACAGCAGTGATCACTCCAGATCCTATCAGAGCCCTTTGCTTCCATCAGAAAAAGAAATGGAAATTAGTAATATTAGTAATTCCAACATACTTTATACTTTTTGATTTTTTAAATATAAGGTTTATTTTATTTCTAACCTAGTTTTTTATATATGATATTAACAGTCTAAGGGCATAAATAAAATGCATTGTATAAATCATTTTTGTAAATATTATGTTTTTAACCGTAGATTTAAATATCTTCATTTGTTTTAAAATTTTTTAACTATACAGTAATCAGTTTCTTAACAGAATAAACAGGGGAAGAGTTTGACTTAATTTTTCTGTGTACTTGTAGATGCACATTGGCCCATGTGGCCAGAGGTCAACTCAGGTCATTCCACCAGGTCATTCCTCCTTGTTTTTCTGTGTGCGGCATGGTCTCTCGCTGCCCTGGAACTCACTGATGAGGCAACACTGGCTGGCCAGCAAGGCCCAGGCCTCTGCCTTTCTCCTCCCCAACACTGTGATTACAGCAAATGCCACCATTCCCAGCTTTTTTCTATGCTTTACTGACTGAGCCATTTCCCCAACCACATAAGAGAAGTAAATAATTGGCTTACCAGGGCTAGTTTCTATACTGACTTCTTTTAAACAAAATGGCTGCAGAATCTTCACAGTAGGTAGTGCTGTTTCTATTTCATGGATGAGAATTACACCAAGATCTATAGATACACTAAGCACACTGCCGCATTCTTCAACAGTATAAAAGCTATAACTTGATCCATATAATCTGACTTGAACAGCCCATCTTTGCCATTCTCTTTTGCTCCTCAAACCATCCTGGATCTTAGACTCTAGCACTTTATGTTCTTCATCTACAGCAGGACCTGGGCTTTGTAATGACTCAACTCAGACATGGCATTGCGTCCTGTCTTTGAGAAGGAAATGACATTTAGAGAATGAGAATGGCAAGTGTTTGGTCATGGAGCCAAACAAAGCCAATGGTGCTGGGCCAATAGAGAAAAGTCTAGCCAGATGAGTAAGCGAAGCCTAGACTAGAAGAAAGAATACAGAAAGCAGTAACATTTCAGATCAAATCAGATTAATGGCAACAAACTCAAATTGCAAATAATGTGTTAAATGTGGAGGAGTGTGGTTATGTGGGTGTGAATATGTGTGTTATAAGCCTTTAATTATAGTATGAAACTGAGAGTGTTGTTGGCACTTGCCTATAATCCCAGCACCAAAGAAGCTGCGGCGGCGTGTCATATTGCTACGGGCAGCCAGCCTGCTCTGCGAGTGAGTTCATGGCAGTCTGTCATCTACAGCAAAACTATGTCACACAAAGAGGAAAGGAAATGAAGTAACTGATTATATGATAATAATATAGAATTTATTATGCAGTTGAGAAAAATTACAGACTATTAAAAATGTCCAATTTTCAGGCCATTGAGACTCACTTGATCCGCAAGTCTAGCGGGGGACTAACATACATCGCAGAGTGGAAAGGGGGCCTCCTGGAACACAAGATGGGCCACCTCACATGCTTTGCAGGGGGCATGTTTGCACTTGGGGCAGATGGAGCGCCAGAAACCCTGGCCCAACACTACCTTGAACTCGGAGCTGAAATTGCCCGCACCTGTCATGAATCTTACAACCGCACCTGTGAGTACATGGGCCTCTTCATTCATACTCAATTCCCTTCACGCTTTGATCTCATCCAGTAAAGGGCTTCTCCATAGTCTTCATCCAGAAGGGGGAAGGGAAGGAAGGAGGGAGGGAGGGAAAAAGAAAACCACCATGAAATTTGATGATACTAATATCTTGAAAGGAATTTATGCCTTTATTTAAAAGTCACAGCTTTTATACAAAAATAGACACCTTACTGTGTCAAGTAACAACAAAAAAAAGTAGGTCATACAAGTTTAAGCCAGCCTTTTTTACTGACTTTTGATTTTCCTCAATAACACTGAGTAAGGGTCTCTGACTCTTACCATAAAGAAACTTCGCCAAAGCCCCATAAGGAGATTTTATGTCTGTATTCCTATTTATAAAATAAGCAATTTAAACACAAAGATTAAATAACTGGCCTTTTGTGACATAGTAAGAGATTCTCAACCACCAAGCTTCCAGCTACCCAGCAAATGGCCACAGTACCTTAGAAACACCTGGTGAAGTGCTCAGTAAATTGGAGTTAAATGATTGAAAGGGGAAAAAAAAATGTCATTTTTCTATACTGGATCCTTTTAGGTGACGCAAATTTAGAAGTATATTGAGTATTGTGTATTGTATGGTGTGTATAACTGGCCCTTAAACGGGTCACACTGGCGTCTGTCTCAGGATTGCTAAGTACTTTCCAATTTTGTCAAGGTTATGTACCCTTACTCAGGAGGTAACCCTGGTTAACTGATTGCATGTGCTTTAGTCATGAAGCTGGGACCAGAAGCTTTCCGATTTGACGGCGGCGTGGAAGCCATCGCCACGAGGCAAAACGAAAAGTACTACATCTTACGGCCAGAGGTTGTCGAGACGTACATGTACATGTGGCGACTGACTCATGATCCCAAGTACAGGAGCTGGGCCTGGGAGGCCGTAGAGGTGAGGCTTTCTTTAATCTGCACATTTCTCATAGATCAGTTTCTTAGTGCAAAATGGACAGCCACGGAGCAAATCTGTCGTGGCAACTTTTCGGAGATTTCCATAGCTCTGTCAAGTGCAGGACTAGCTGTTTCCTGTTCATTTACTGTGTCCTGTGGGCTTTCTCTGTATTATAGGAAGCTTTGAATGCCGAAGGATATGGATCTGCACAGAAAGACCTGGAGAGGCATAAAGTTAACCGGAACTAGAGAAAGAATGGTTGCTTTGTTCTGCTGGGCAGATACTGGGCAGCTTCTGGATGCTCAAAACTGTCTGTTGTCTACTTGCAGTCACTTCAGAATCCATGCTTTCCCGCTGGCCCTTGAGCTTTAAAACCCTGTGTGTTTACCTAGAGCAGAGGTTCTTAGTCTATGGGCCGAAGTCCCTTTGGGGTAGCACATCAGATAGCCTGCCTATTAGATGTTTACATTACAATTCATAGCAGCAGCAAACTTACAGTTATGAAGGAGCAATGAAAATAATTTTATGGTTGGGGGCCACCACAGCATGAGAAACTATGTAAACATCTCAACATTAGGAAGCTTGAGACCCACTGGCTGAGAGTGAGCTATCTGCTTAGCACTAGGGAGAACTTACAGAACGGTTTTCTATGGACAAGGGTTACCCACCAGTCAGATTTCTCTAGTCTGTTTCAATATTAGTGCTTTAACTGTTTTTTCTTGATTCTCTTCCTACCAAACACGGAGTGAATCTGTTGTGCTAGGCACCAAAGGAGGTGCCTTCAGCTATTTACATCAAACTATGTCTAGTCTCAAGAGCTGTTACGCTAAAAGGAGTGGGAGAAAATTCGGAAAATATGAACAAGCAAATGCTTTAATTGCTTTGTTTTCCCCAGATCCTTGGTAGAAAGCTAGCTGCCTTAAACATTGATCTTAGAGAGCATTTTTCTCAGAAGCCTCAGGAAGTTCATGTAAACTTAACTAACACCTTAGGAATCTGTTAATTCACCTTCTTACTGCCCTCTCTCAGTGTGTCTGCCGTCACTAATCATCAGTCAGTTTAGGTAAAATATTCCATTTCCTAATTATATTAAATCAGTAGTGGTTCCACTTGTTCAAATCTACATTTTCCCCCTCTGGAAGAAAATGTATTAAAAGTGAGTTTCATCTAAGCCTCAGTGGTATGGAGCTGTCTACGACAAGGCCTACAAAGGAATTGTGAGCCTAAATTGCAAATACTGATTTAAATAGGAAACATCAGGAATAACATATTTCATCAGATCTAATACCAGGGCTTGGGGTGTGATTAAGCTGCTAGAATGCTTCCATTGCAACACATAGGCCCGGAGTCTGGCTGTTGCACCAACACACCAGGTGCACACCTAGATCCCAGCGCTCAGGGAACAACAGGATCAAAGCTCAAGGTCGTGTTCAGCTCTAGAAACCACCTCTAGCTACATGAGATGCTGTATCAAAAAAGAGATGGCTTACTTTGCAAGCATGAGGACCTGAGTTCGTTCCCCCAAACCCATGTAGAAGCCAGACATGACTGTGCAAGCACGAAGACCCCGAAAATGCTGAGAGTGCCAGAGGCAAGCAGATTCTCAACTGGCCAAGCAGTCTAGCCACAGAAATGAGCTACTTCAAAATACAAAGTGGTGGCAGAGGCTAGCCAACACTGCTGACCTCTGTCCTCCATGTGTACTCACACAGGTAAGCATACTGACTTGCACACACACATACATACAAACCCAATCAAAAAAAAAAAAAAACCAACAAGGCAAAATTTTGTAGGAGGCATCTTTATTTCCTGTACCACTAGAACACTTCATGCCAATATTATAGATATTAAGTGTAAAAAGAAAAAAAAAATGTCTTCCAAGGGTACAGTCCATAGTGGGTGGAGGATGGGTAGAGTCAAGACAGCTGGAGTTTGAAGCAGCTGGTCGCTCTGCTGAGAAATGCAGTTGCTCAGTGACCTTTCTCCACTTACATAGTCCAGAATCCCATCCAGGGAATGGTGCTTCCAAAAGCAGGCAGGTCTTCCCACCTAGTGATAACAAAATAACCCCTAGAGGCATGTCCAACTCCCAGGTGATTATAAAGTAGATCATGGCGACAGCACTCTCTCTCTCTCTCTCTCTCTCTCTCTCTCTCTCACATGCATGCAAGCACACCCACACAAAGATTTTCTTTTTAAAGACAACATTTGTTGCCTTATTTTTGCTATGTATATCAATTCAAAGACTTTGTGTTAAAGGAGAAAAAATATTAACTATAAAGTTGTCCGATCCATGTTTGAATGAGTGGAAGTTGTTAGAAAGTCAGTCTTTGTTGTTCTGTCTTCTGAATTTCAGTATCTCAATAATCTGGAGATGGCAAATTCCACCAGCTCAGGCTGACATGGTTTCCAGTTGTGGGCTTTCACAGATTGCCAGTGTCTTCAAAAACCGCCCTGTAGTGTGATTTCCCAGCTCACTTAGTTGATTCATGAAACCTCTGGCTTACACTGGAATTAGAGTCAAGCAATGTTAGTTACCTGTGATGAGTCAGGCTCTTTCAACTCCATACTTTTTTCTCTTCTGCTTTCAGTTTGTAAAGTATTTCCAAGCTGTCATCTTGCCTCATAAAAGCAAAGTGAAACAAAAAAAACCCACACTTTTTCCAGCATTCCTTCACTGACAGGCTCAGTAAAACTGATATCCGTGTCTTCATTAAATAGGATACTTATTTTCAATAAGTTAGGGCAGTGTATATACCACAGTAGAGCACTGGAGCCCGCCTTCAGTAAATAGCAGTCCAGTAATCATAGTCATTTGGACTCTTGTGAACATACCTAACAGAAGTTACTTCAAGCTGCTACTTAATTTGCTTTCTGTCAGTAATGGTAAGAACTGTATTGGATTTGTCCCAATTGAATAGGTGACAGCTGGCAGTTAAGATTTATTTGAATAATAGTTGTGCCTGTTTGTTCATACAGATTAGGTAATATCTCTTCTGATTCACAGAAGATAAGGCCTCATGGGACTTTTTTCTCTCTTTATAAAGTTTTCTTTGATGTCTTGGACCTCACACTTTCCACACCAATATTCTGAATCTGAGAGAATAGTGTTTCCTTCCTATTCCTGCTCCTGCTTCCCCAGACTTGATCCTTCTTTCTGAACACTCTTTCGTATGTTTGTGTTGCCTGGGTCTTTGTTATTTTCTTTGAGACCAGAGAAGACTCAAGCAGACAGCTTTAGTGGCACAGTTTCTTGGAGGATGACTCTTGCAAATCTCCATGGATCAGCTAGTCAATTCCTATTCACACATCAGTGCTTCCCGACTTGAGTCTAACTGGTCTAACTTGAGTCACTGGTTATAGGCTTACTTGGCCCAACCCCAAGTTATAATCACTCAGGGTCAAGTTTGTCTTTCATGCACTGTTTCGAGCCACAGTTGCTGTAACCAGCCTTAACATCCTGTGCCCTGCTAGCACTTTGCAGCACATTTGGTCCCTAATAAGATAAGCCATTACACAAAATGCCCAGAGGCTAAGCAACTGCCAGAACAGACTAATGAAATGATCTGCTCAAGATGTGACTGTTTCCACTGATGAGGATCAGAATCCATCATGGAGGCCCAGGAAACCTGTTGTTTCCAGCTTCACACTCCTCATATCTTAACATGTAGACTTCCGTTTGGGGATTTTGTTATTAGCACATATCAATTATACAAAATAAGAGAAAGTGTGATAGCGTTTCCAGCCTGTGCATACAAGTGTTTCGTTCATGCATTTATACTTGGACATGGGTTAGTTTTAGGAGAGTAAAAAGGCTCTTCCACATTATCCTCATTTGTACATTATTTTTAATTTACCTAAAGCCTTAGAGACTGGAAAATAGCTAGGCTTCTGAAAGGCCTTTTTCACTGTGTTAAGTATCCCCTTGCCCTGCTTTTATTCTTAGTGTGACTCTGTGTTAAAGGCACTGCCCGTCTTAAGGGATTTCAAGAGCCACAATTAGGAAATCTAGACTTGAGGTCAGTGGGTCCCTCTCTCCAACTTTGTATTTTTGTCTTAGTTATGGTTTCTATTGCTGTGATGAAATAGCATAACCAAAAGCAAACTGGTTAGGAAAGGATTTATTTTGTTTACACTTCTAGAGCACCATTCAACACTGGAAAAAGTAAGCACAAGAACGCAAATGGGCCAGGAACCTAGAGGCAGGAGCTGGTGCAGGGGCAAAGAAAGGGTGCCGCTTACTGGCTTGCTCCTTGTGGCTTGCTCAGCCTACTTTGTTACAGAACCCAGAACCAGCAGACCATGATGGTGCCACCCACAATGAGCTAGATCCTCCCATATCAATCACTAATTAAGAAAATCCTCTACAGGGTTGCCTACAGCCTGATTTTTATGGAGGCATTTTCTCAATTGCGGTTCTCTCCTGTCAGATGACTATAACTTGTGTCAAGGTGACATAAACTAGCCAGCACAACTATTGTGCTTATTACACAATGAGGACTTATGGAAGATAAGAACGAGTGGGTATGAATTGAAAAGAAAGATGACTGTATGTTGTTTGTCTCTTTTCTTTTTCTAATTTCTTTGGTTGGTTGATTGGTTGGTTGGTTGGTTGGTTGGTTGGTTGGTTGGTTGGTTGGTTGGTTGGTTGGTTGGTGAAAGATGTCTGGTCACTGGATTTTTGTTGTTTACTGCACAAAGAGTATCATTAGCTGATCCATGCTGCCTTCGAACGCACAGTTCTCCTGCCTGAACCTCACACATGCTGAGATTAGAGGCATGTGCCACAATGTTCTGCCAGCTTTTTATCAAATAGACGAAATCATAAAAATTTTCATGGACAGAAAAGGTTAGCTAATCACCATGCCTGGCCTCCTCGGCTTATTATCACTGAAAGTGTGTCAAGGGAATGGTTGACTAGGAAGAGGTTTGGAGATTCTGACAGTTTTAAGGAAATACCTGGAAATTTGGTTTCATTACATCCCAGAGTAACATCACCT